GCCGGCGCCACAGGTGGAGGTTTAACCAAGTGAGCCACGGCACCGGCCCTGTTTAATATCTGATTTCATTTCCTTTGGGTAAATACCCAGGAAAGGGATGGCTGGGTGATATGGTAGATCTGTTTTCAGATTTCTGAAGTGCTTTCATAGTTCCTTCCACAATGGGTGTACTAGTTTACATTCTCACCAACAGTGGATCAGGGTACCTATTTCTCCACATCCTCACCAGTATTTATTATTTTTAGATTTTTAGATGCTGATACACATTTTAACTGGGGCAAATTGATACTTCATTGTGGTGTTTACATGAATTTTCCTCATCACAAGTGATCCTGAGCATCTTTTTTTTTTTAAGATATATTTACTTATTCAAAAGTCAGAGTTACACAGAGAGAGGAGAGGCAGAGAGGAGACAAAGAGAGAGAGAGAGAGAGAGAGAGAGAGAGAGGTCTTCCATCCATTGGTTCACTCCCCAATTGGCCGCAGCAGCTGGAGCTGTGTCGATCCGAAGCCAGGAGCTTCTTCCAGGTCTCCCACACAGGTGCAGGGGCCCAAGGACTTGGGCCATCTTCTACTGCTTCCCCAGGCCATAGCAGGGAGCTGGATTGGAAATGGAGCAGCCGAGTCTCGAACCAGCGCCCATATGGGATGCTGGCACTTCAGGCCAGGGCGTTAACCCACTGCACCACAACGCCAGTCCCCTGAGCATCTTTTCATATGTATTTGGTCATTTCTATTTCATCCTTCGAAAAATGCCAGTTTATATCTTTTGCCCATTTCATAACTGGATTGTTTTGTTGTTTTTGAGTTTCATGAGCTACTGTAATCTTCTGTACATCTATATTTTACACAAATTATTTTCCAATCAAAAATATTTTTCTGCCATTTGCTTCTCTGTTGAACTCCTTACCTTTCATTTCAGATAAAACACTGATTTTGAGAGAAATTCTTATCTGAGTCCCATTCCAGTACACATTTATTTTTATACTTTCACTGAAATCATTGACCTGGATAAATTTGTTTGCAACTATGTCTATGTCACTTATTAACAAGAAACATATTATTTATCTTTTTATAACAGTGCCAATTCCAGTTTGCCACCTCTCATTATGTGCTGTATGTAAATATTTATCAGCTGAATGAGATTACATTGAACACCATGAAGGAGCATAGGTATATTAAATTTTGTAACTCTATCTAAATAAATACCAAGTTATTTGTCTTCCAAATAATTGTGCATGCGTAAGAAGTTAAGAAGAGAAAATCCACCTTGACACTCTATGGAGATATCACCTCTGAGATGCCCTAGTGGGATTGAAGTGTTTCTTGTGTGCATTTGTGCAGTTCAATTTAACCTTGTGATTCAATTTAAAATGTTTTCCTCATTTTATCTGTGAGTTAAGTTCCTTAACATTTACTACACATCGATGTGCTTATTTACTGTGAGTTCAGGCTTGCATTCTCTCATGATTTGCACCCTGTATCTCTCCCATCTGTGTATATCTTTTGGCATTAAAATACCATTTTTATCTTATTCCAATGGTTACATAAATAATGACTTTATTTAATTTATAATCATTCTTAACTTTACATAATATTTTGTTTGAAACTTTTGTGGGCTTTAAAATCCATTTATATAAAGGAAACAAATGTCGGGTATTTCTTACATACAGCTCTAAAAGCGTAAGGATACATCCCACTCTACTTCCTTCCTCCATCACGGCCATCTTCCCTCCTCCTTTCCTTTCTTGTTTTCCTATTAATTTTTATGATGCATTTCTTAAAAGATATATTTATTTTCTTGAAAGTCAGAGTTAAAGAGGGAGAGGGAGAGACAAATAGAGAGAGAGAGAAAGAGAGAGAGAGAGAGAAAGAGATCATCCATCTGCTGATCTTCTGGTTCACTCCCCACCTGGCCACAACTGCTAGCACTAAGTTAGGATGAAGCCAGGAGCCAGAGATTTCATCCAGGTCTCCTATGTGTGATGGTCCACATACTACGACCATTTTCCACTGCTTTTCTCTGACCATTAGCAAGGAGCAGTATTGGAAGTGGAACAACCAGGACACAAACTGGCACCCATAAGAGATGCCAGCATTGCAGGCAGCAGCTTTACCTGCTACGCCACAGTGCCAGTCCCAGTGACATACTTTCAATTTTGTTTCAATAAGTTTATCATTCCACTAAATACAGAATGTAACAAATAGTAAGGAGAAAAACTACTGTTCCTGAAGAGTATAGACAAGGGCTGTAAAAAATAATCAAATCTCAAAATTTCAATTTTGTTCTTACTTAACTCAATTTTACAATGATTAATGTTCTCTGTCAGCTTCTCTTTTTATATTATTAGCTGCATTAAATATAATATATCAGAATATATTTCATTTGAAAGCATTTTGTATAATGGTTTTTAGCCTAGCAATTATGAGGCTGTTTAGAATGCCTGCATCCCATATCAGAGTACCTGAATTCATCCCCAGCTTTGATTCCTAAATCCAGCTTCTTGCTACTACAGACCCTGGGAGGCAGAAGATGATAAGAAAAGTAACTGGGTTTCTGCCATCCATGTAGGAGACACAGACTGAGTTCCAGGCTCCTGGCTTCAACTCAACCAGCCCCAGCAGTTGCAGGCATTTGGAGAGTGAACTAGTAGATGAGAGATGTGTTTGTTTTCTGTCTGTCTCCTTCCCTCTCCCCCTCACTCTGCTCCTCAAATGCATAAATTATTTAATATCTTTAAAATTATTTTTCATACTGTTCTCATGTTTTCTTATGTATACAATGCAATATATTTATGTTCACTATCAAATATTCTGCCAATTTTACCAGTGGTTTCTTTAATAGATGAGGATTTTACTGCAGTAGATTCTTGACAAAAAGGGAGTGAAAAGAGGGATGGAGTTTCTCTCTGTCTACTCTGCTATTTGACTACGGCCTAACATTTTTCTGCACAACAGCAGCCTATAAACAAATTTTCATACCTTATTGAATTAGGGATTTCAACTGATAGAGGAAAACAATGTCATAAGTTTTTTTCTGATAAAATCCATCTCTTGTAAATTTAGATTTTGAATTGGGTATGTCAGTCAGGTAGCTGTATTCTTGTAGATAAATGATCTTATAAAGAAATATACATTCTTGAGTTTAGAAAACATATTGAGGACAGCAAAGATGAGTCAGTTATAATTGAGAAGAACCAGAAAATGATCGAAGGGATATAAGGATATTTAAGGATACAAAGATTTCTCTTTCTCTTCCTCTCTCCACCTTCTTCTTTCGCTTCCTCCTCCTCCTCTTCTTCTTCTTCTCCTTCTTCTTCTTCCCATCCTTTTCCCCCAAACTCCTCCCTCTCCTACTCCTTCTTTTTTAACTCATCCACTCTTATATTTGGGGTGTATATGTTGTTTCCAATATTTTGAAGTATATTAAGTATATTCCCCCTTCTCTCCGCTCTGTGTTTTGAATATTTTCACCTAATATTTTAATGTTGGGCTTTCTGTTTGAATGCTTTTACATTCATATCCCTTATTTGTCTTTTTCTTCCTCAGAAGTTGTACTTTCCTAAGACTGTCACTAGAAACTTCCTGTTCTTTTAAACCAGCTTACCTTTAAGATAGTTTACCTTTAACTCACAGACCTGGCCCTTTTACACACTCTTATTTTGAAATATGATCCTGCATTTGTGTACTCGGCTGTGGTAATCTGCCTACTGCTTCTGCATATTTCAGAATCGGTTTCAGTTTAATCTTTCTATTGGTCACTCCATCCCATACTCATGCTCCTTTGCTAGTGAACTTCTTTCCTGGATCTTCACCTGCAGTTTGTCTTACTCTACTTTTGCTTGCTGGGTGAAATGGAAGCTAGTGGGCTTCACGCACTGGTACTGATTGAGTTTTCTCTTATTTGGTCTTTCCACATTGTCTCTACATATAACATGGAGACTTTACTGTTACATGGACATTGCATAGATGTGTATTTTCACATGGTTTGGAAGAGCGAATGGGAGGGCGTTTATTACACTGCCTCCAATGTCTGCAGCTACTGAGAAATGCTCTGTGTGTTTATGGAGTCAACAAACATTTATTGGCTCATCACAAATGTTTGTATTTTCCCAGCAATAGGACATGTATTATCTAGAAACACAATTACTGTGACAATAGCTGTTTTGTGAGGATGTTTAGATATGTTGAGAAGAGAATTAGTATTTTATATTCACGTCTTTACTCATCAAAATAGACTGAAGCACAGGGACATTAGAGAATCGCACTAGCTCACGGCACCAGCGAACAACAGAGCTGGGGTTTAAACGACTTTTCCCACTTCAGTATCTATGCTTTTCAAACCAATTTATTTAACTTCATTTCCCAAAGGTAGGCTTATTCTGTGGATGAGGCCCTGGGAAAATCTTCATATAAAATCTTCATGTTGGATCTAGAAGTCACCATGTCCTGGCCAGTGCTTACTCTGAAAAGAGAGCAGCCCTGACAGGCTGTAGGTCAAAGGACAAGAATTCTAGCATGCAATTGCTGAAATGTTGAGGTCAGTTGCTAGACACAGAAGAAATCACAATTCAAGTTAGAGGGCTATATTTAACAATTCAGTTTTATGAGTTTTAAACATTTAAATTGACTCAGTTTTATTTCAATATGTTTTGTATTTTAGTTATAAATCAGCAAGTTATAGTGCTCTAAATTTTATAAGATCAGATTTCATAGGATAACAACAAAAAGTATTACAAGCCTACTACCTGCTTTTAAATTTCTTAGTGATTTTTTAGGAGGTGAAAGCAATCTCCTTTGATTGTAAACATCTTCAGAATTGACTTTTTTGAAAATAACGACTTGTTAGTTTGATTGACTAATCATTGTATTAATTTGAATTTAAAGTTAAGAATGAATTGATAAGATTCTAATAAATGAGCATTAGTCGAACACACTAGAAAAAAATAAAATTACAGTGGTAATAATATTAATTTTTTGAGATTACTAATTGCCAACAATTTGGGTACATTCATTTTTAATTTGTTGGTATTGTCCATAGCTTTTTAATTAGAGATGAAAATAAATCCATCAACCATCTCTACAAAGATTCTTCTTGCAAGTTGTGTGTTCATTAAAACTTTCCATACAGTCAAAGATAATGATCCTGGAAGAGACAGAAAAGTATTACATGTAAATGAAAACATTTTAAAGTACTACTGGGCAGTAGATAACTCAGTGGCTTTATCTCATTTTTTTAATAATCATAAATTATGTAATTGCTACATTAATTGCAGTACTATTGGATGATATCTGACTTGTTGATTTTATTTTACTATCTTTCCATGAATTGAATAGTAAAATCATGAATAATGTGAGAAAAGTATACATTGAGTGCCATTTCTATGTTACTAACAATAGTTTACAACAGTAGTGTCTGAAATTATGGCAATTCATTAAAAGAAACACTACATTTCTTTTAAACAGAATGAAATGAATTAACTCAATTTATAAAAATTGCTCTAAGGAAAATCTCCCCAGTTGGAAGGAGACAGTTTGCTCCTCATTGCACGAAGGAAGGCTGCATACTGGCTGAGAATGTGGCATTGGGACCATTCCTTGAATAAGAAGAAACTTCAGTTGTATGGCATTTAATATGTTTGAACATTTTTGTTAGTTTAATAAATGCAATGATTAAAAACATACACTTAATTCATTTGTGTTTAATTTGATTCATGAAATCTTTCAAATTCAATTTTTTTTTTGCTTTGAAAAACATTAATAGTATAATGTTCTTGGGTTAGCTCAGTGATTCAGGGCATGTATAGGAAATGGGGATGGCATGTTGATTGCCAAACTTGTAGCGAGAGAATCCTTTTGCTTTTACTTATTTAGGAAATCCAGCATTTCAATGGCTCAAGCCAATGATTTCTTACATGACTACCAATGTTGGATTGAAGAAATCCAGACAAGTCCACTTGCTAGTAATTTCATTCATCACTCAGGTTTTCTTTTGAAAATTTTTCTTCTTTGAGTTTAACATAAATTAGAAATTAAGAAATAGGTCATGTAGGATCCTTACCTGTCAACTTATCCACACTGCAAAGAATTTTTAGAGCTGACAACACTATGTTCTGGAGAGGAGTGAAGTCACTGATGAATGGTGCTACATCAGTGTCCACAAGGATTCGTGGTGGCAGGCCTTGCTGGGCCTTATGGACTCGAATCAGGGTTGTAGGAAAGTGAGATGCAGCTAAATATTCCACAGTCAGTGTCCAATTTTTGTCAAATTCTACTTCTATTTTAGAATAATATGTATATCTAAAAGACAAGGGTAAAAGTGTATAATTACATTAATCACTTCAGAATTTCAACCCAGTTTCCTTCACAAACAATTATCTTTTGCCAGCAAATTAAATAAATCATTATTTCAAACATAGATTTTATAATGTGATGATTTCAGCCCATCCTTCAGGAGAGGTGATGATATCTAATTTTTAAGCCAGTAAAGGATCATCTCATCAATTGCTTATATTGTACTTTGCATTTTGTCTTGTTGAGCTAGGCAAATTATACTTGAATACTATATGATAACCAGATTGAAGACCAAGACCAAGGCACACTCTATAGCTATGTAGAAATCAATGTTAAATTTCTCAAATAAGATTCTTGCTGGATGCAGACATCTTTCATAAAACTTTTGAGCTCCTGAAGTCAGAGGGTACTCAAGACACAGAGCATCCACTCAAGGTAAGCCCTATGTAGGTGTTCCAATTTTATCATTTTTTAAGGATTTATTTATTTATTTAAAAGGCAGAGTTGCAGAGAAAGAGAGAGATATTACATCTGTTGTTTCTCTCCCGAGATGGCCACAACATTCAGGCCTGGGCCAGGCTGAAGCCAGGAGCCAGAAGTTTGTTATGGGTTTCCCACGTAGGTTCAGGGGTCCAGATACTTGGACCCTCTTCAGCTGCCTTCCCAAGCACATTATCAAGGAGCTGGATCAGAAGTGGAGCAGCAGAGACTCAAACAGGTACCTATATGGGATGCCAGTGTCACAGGTGGCAACTTAACCTACTACACCACAAAGCCGAGTCTTTTAACAAATATTTTACTGTAGCTTTTCTATGTTTAAATACAAAAATATTTACAATTGTGTTACAATTGCCTACAACATTCAGTACAGTGACATGCCCTATAGCTTTGCAGCTTAGGAGCAATAGGTTACATATGTACCATACAGCCTAGATGTGTAGTAGGCTACAACATCCAGGTTTGTGTAAGTTCACTGTATGATGTTTACTCAATGGCAAAACTGCTTGATGATGCATTTATCAGAATGTATTCCCATCATTAAGCAATTCATGATTCTACTTTGTTCTTAATTTACTTAATAAATATTTTCTTGATAAAATCATTTAAGTGGAGCATTTATTGACACCTAAAGTCAGTTAGAAATATATTTCAGAAATATATGTGCTAGTCAAAAACAGCTATTTGTTATAACTAGCAAGTATGGAGATTCTACTAACAACTAGTAAAATGAATGCCTTTAAGTTTATATATTTCTGATGGAAACAATCATACAAAAGTTTAAACTTATTCACCCCTAGAAATTTCATGTTGTATGATTCTGAAGCAATTAAACAAGCTGTCCTGATAAAAACATGACTTCCAAAAATAATTCTATTGCACAAATAGAAATAAATATGTTGAGCTTGAATGCCTAAATGCATAAGAGAATGAAATTTACCTACAGGTAAAAAATGCAATATGAATTAACTTGAACTATTTAACATGGTCTTTTTTCTCATGTTCAAGTTATGGTTTTAGGGATAGAAATTTAACACAGAAATTTAACATGCCATGACACTTGGGATGCCTGCATCCATTTCAAAGTGCCAGGGTTCAAGTCCCAAATCAGCATCCACTTCCAGCATCCTGCTTATGCACACTATAGGAGGCAGCAGATAATGACTCAAGCACTTGGATTTCTGAGACGGACATACAGACATTGGAGACCAAGACTGAGTTCTGCTTGCTTCAGCCTGGCCCAGCTGTGGCTATTGCAGGCATTTTGGGAATGAACCAACAGAGTAAAGATTCTCTCTCTCTCTCTCTCCCTCCATTCCTTCCTCCCTCCCTCATTTTCAAATATATGAAAATTTAAAAAGTAGTTCTTGAAAGCTGTGGTTTGGGGGCACAAATTTGATGCATCAGATTAAGATGCTGTTTGAAACACCTGCATCCCATGACAGAGAGCCTGTTCCAGTCCCTCCTATTCCATCTCTGACCCAACATTCCTACTAATAATGCACACCTCTTTCTCTCTTTCTCTGTTTCTGTTCAAATAAAATTTTTTAAAAGTTGTGTTTTTCTGTTGATTTAACTTCTTGAACATATGAATATAAAATTTATAGGAGTGAACAGTGTAGTACAGCAGGTTAAGGCAACAATTGGGACACCTACTGTCTAACCCAGCCTTGGTTTTTGTGGGTATTTAAGGAGTGACCTACAGATGGAAGATCACTCTTTTCTCCATTTCTGTCTCTATCACCCTGCCTTTCAAATAAATAAATCTTTAAAAAATAAAAAGTGTATCTATTTAGGGTGCACCATGTGATGTTTTGATATATGTATGTATTGTGATATGTGCAAATCATTGGAGAAGACCCTAAAAATTACAGGAAACAAAAACAAAAACAGACAAATGGGATTTCATCAGATTCAAATTTCTGCATAGCAAATGATTTGTTTTTTTGAAATGAACTTGAAATAGGTGTCAAGTGAAAAAAAACTAATAAAAAATAAAAATAATGGAATTGACCATCTCTACTCAAGAAATTTGTCCGATAATCTCATCCTGCTTCCTTTCATCAAAAGACAATGAGCAGTCAAGTTACAGCTTTTGTGGTGGCAGCTACAAGCCCAAAATATATCATAGACTATGGCAACGGAGTAAACATCTCTACTGCCTAATTGAAAATTTAACTATTAAGACCATATCGTTAAGAAAAGGAGGAAATGCCCTGTGAATCTGTTGACCAAGGCTTTTACCTTGCTGGATCATGGAATCAGGGGAGAAGCAACATTAAGTGGAATGTTCTTACCTGGATTCGTTATCTGCTCATGCAGTCCAATGAGCCTTCCCCTCTTTCTGATGATTTCTGTACCCAAATTTCCAACTCATATATCATCTAAGTGGTTGATTTGTTCCTCTAGATAGTATCATACATTTCCAAACCCAAGTCATTCTTATACTTTTAATTATAAGGTTACCCAATATGTAGAGTGACTTTATCTTGTATACTGTCTAATGGGCAAACTCTGAAGCTGGTGAATTTTTCTCAAGTATATGCCACTAAATTCATCATCATCCACAAATCTACATTCTATGTTGATTTTCACAATTAAGAAATATGTTATATGTTGCATGTATACCTGCTTTTTAATGCAATTCTTGGTTTTTTTTTTTTTTAGATATTTACCCTTCTTCATGAAACATTTTTAAGTTTAATTAGGCCAAAATATTTATACCTCATCACCATAATCTCCAAGAGTTAGATATTCTATGTAATGTTAAGCTTGAAAAGCACTCTGGAAGAAGGAGAACGTACAAATAACATGAAAAATAATTTAGTAGATTAAATAAAGGTAACTTTGTATTAATTCTTACCTATCCTCAAAATATTCACCCATGTTTTCCAAACTTGAGGTATGTGCAGCCCATAAGTGTTTCAACAAGTCATCAAAGCTGCTAGAAGGTGACTGCAAATACTAAAATATAAAAAAGAAACATTAATCTTTGGGCAACTGTAACAAATCCTCTCCTTGAAACAGTCTTGTCCAAATATTTAATTTAGCAATATTATACCTGAAAGAAGACTTTTATTTCTAACAACTAATATGTGTAAAACTTCAGTCCCCAACCTTTGTAATAAACACAGGAAGTATTCATTACTTCCACTAATAATGCATGTATCTGAAAGAAACGAACTTAAACCATCTTCAAAGAGTCCATATTTTGTACTAGCCAAGAGATGTTTTCACCATTTTTTCCAATAACATTGTTACAGTCTTAACCATAAAATCTGAAGCAAAAGGAGAAAATTTGCTAGAATGTTTAATTTAATGATATCTAAAGTAACTAATTGTGAATGTAAAGAACTGGTAAGTTTCTATCTTCTCATCATTTGTTTTAGTCCATGTAGGATATATTTTATCTTGAGCATTGAACATTTAATTTAGAACAGTGCTTAATGGTTTAGTTCTACCCACGTGTGATCACATGCTAATTTAATTAAAATAAGAAAAACCAATAAGTTTATCATATTTCTCCCCAGTTCCTTCAGTTGCTCTGAAGTTTCAACTGATCAGAATTGCTTATTTGGCTGGCGCCGCGGCTCAATAGGTTAATCCTCCACCTAGCGGTGCTGGAACACGGGGTTCTAGTCTCGATGGGGGCACCGGATTCTATCCTGGTTGCCCTTCTTCCAGGCCAGCTCTCTGCTGTGGCCCGGGAGTGCAGTGGAGCATGGCCCAAGTGCTTGGGCCCTGCACCCCATGGGAGACCAGGAGAAGCACCTGGCTCCTGCCTTCGGATCAGCACGGTGCGCCAGCTGCAGCGCGCTGGCCACGGCGGCCATTGGAGGGTGAACCAACCAACCAACGGCAAAGGAAGACCTTTATCTCTGTCTCTGTCTCTCTCACTGTCCACTCTGCCTGTAAAAGAAAAAAAAAAAAAAAAGAAGAAGAATTGCTTGTTCACTATTAAGCAACATAATCCTATATGCCTAACTTCTAGGTATAATTTATTTCAGGTGAGAAGCATATGTAAATTTTGTGTTAATAGTGCATTGGGGCAGTGGATAAAATGCCATAAACTCTCTACTCCAATGTCTGTTTTTCAAGAACAATTTTACATTTTACTAGTAAGGAGAACATCACACAATGCACAAACGCCAAGACAAGAAGTGGTACACAGCCAACTCCTAAGTGTGTAAACTACAAAATTTAAAGGACCTGGTAAAACAAATTCCAAGCGTTCATTTTCTCAGGGTAGGATAAACGACAGCCAGAAACGTTGTAACAAAACTTCCTCTGATCTTTGGGAGGTGGCAACAGCTTAACTTGGTCTGAAGATACTCCCAATATGCCAGAGTCAACGGCAGCAAGGAAGGGTAATGCACTCAGGAAATAATTCACATCTGTGAGAACAACAGAATTATTATTACTAGAAACAAATGTCAAAGAGGATATTGTTAAAGAAGTCATAAGTCGCTGAGGAAATATTTAGAGATCCAGAGATATGTCATCAAATTTAATCATTAGTAAAAAAATGAATGATATTCCCCCAGAGATCACATATTTAACTTTAACTGCTTCTTATAGGTATCTTGTAATTATGAATATATATTGGTCTAAGTACTTCACTACAATACTATACAACAAAAAGTAAATTCACTGTGGGCTGGCATTGTAGCATGGCAGGTCAAGTCACTGCCTGCAAAGCCAGCATCCCATACTGGCTCTAGTTCATGTCCCAACTGCTCCACTTCCAATTCAACTCCCTAATGGCTTGAGAAAAGCAGCAAGAGATGGCCCAAGTGTTTAGGACACTGTGACCCACATGGGAGACCTGGAAGAAGTTCCTGGTTCCTGGTTTTGGTATGGTCCAGTGTTTGCTGCTGCAGGTACCTGGGGAGTAAACCAAAGGATAAAAGATCTCTCTCTGTCTCTCCCTCTCTCTAACTCTGACTTCCAAGCATATAACCAAAAACAAAAAGTAATTTTATTAGATTTAGTAATAGTCTTTTATTCAATCAGTAAGTAAAAATGGAAGAAAGCTGTCAAATTATCTACATATAATGGCACAAAATCTCTGTGACTGTACTGTGAATTACATTTTTTTCCTAAAATGTTCCAACATGATCACAGTTTTGGGAAATGGATATTTTCTGTTTTACATTTATCACTTTAATTGTGAACTTGATATCACTCTGTCCTTGTGATAGAATAACTATGTCTCTAAAGCAACAATTATGGAAAAGTTCTGCCAATAAACCACTGGATAATTTCATTAACAATCAAACAAGTCACCCTTAAATGTCTACCTGTGAATAATCTATTGCAGCAGATTCAGACATTTTAGTTTAGTTATATATTATATATGAGGTTTATATACTACTACTAGTCAGTGAAGCAGAATATTGTTCACCATAGATATGTATTGTGAATGTGGTCCTCTACCCCAGTACAGGAGGACGACCTCAACTACTGAGCCAATCTGAAAATAAGCCTGAGTTCTAGATCTGTGGTCACTGCTGTTTTTGGGTCTTTGAAAAGAATGAGGACAGCATGAGGAAAACACAGGTACATATGAAAAGTGTAACTCTGAGAAAGTGATATTTTTAATGTAGTCTTTACAAGTGATGATCCCTAAGAAATTATTGTGTAAAATTATTGTGTAAAATGTAAGAATTTATGGTGTAAACTAGTTTCATTAATAAAATTCAAAATCAAAAAATAGAAAATGTCCTCAGGTTATTTTAGTATTAAGTATATGACTAATGCTTGGGGTTACTCTTTAATAAATGACTTGCATCATGAACATGTTTATGAATTTCAATATAAAACTCACCATCTATGGACAAATTAAAAAATCCTCTTTTTTCTGGCCTCTCACTTCTCATCTCTCCTCATTTCACAGTCTCCCTGTCACTATTGGTAATTTCCATGTAACTGTCGGTGCTGGTCCCTGTGAGGTCATGCCCCTTGATAATTCATTGTTTCCGTATTGTAAAAAACGGAATCTATCACAAAGAATCATGATTCATGTTATGGCTCTTAAATCATACAAAGTCACTTAAAGAACACAAAAGACATGATGAAATCAATATCTTTTAAAAATTGAATAGGACTGGTATTTCTTTGTCTGCTAGTTGCTTTCTATGGGGAAGGTTAATATCCACTTTGCTGTGTAAGAGAACCTACCAGCCCACCAGCTGTCCACAGAAATACACAAAGGATCTCCAGATTCATGGCCACAGAGTGTCTGTCTGCTGGGATCAGCTAGTCGGCCTAGAGGAGACAGGATGCAGTGAGCTCATAAAGCACATTTTAGAGCTGCTTATAACAATTTGTACAAACATTTATTTGTAAATGTCTTGTTGTACTCCCATCACCCTTTTTTATTTCCTACCTCTCAGCCAATTTCTTATCTTTTCTTTAAAAGAACCACAATTTTCTAATTTTAGAATTCTTAAATATTCTTTACTTTTTCTAAGTATTAGTATTCTGTTTGCTTCTCCATAGCCTCAAGAATTATTGAAGCAATAAGCATACGATTTTAAAAAGTGACCAGGTATCAAACCAAATCTCTTTGTCATGACTAGTTGGATCTTGTCTTTGTTTCCTTGGCTATAAAATGGGAATAATATTTACTACATACTTACGTTGCTGTGTGAAGTGAGAAAAAATATCAACAGCATTTTACATGGTACACATATACTACATAAATATTGGAAATGAGCTTTCTTTTCAATGCCAAGTGAACTTGCTATGGTATTAGTCTTTCTTTCAATAATATCCTTCTTGTCTATATTATCAGCTTGGAGTTGGCAACAGCCATCACTCCTTCTCAAGAGTTTCTGTCAGACAGAATAAAAATATCCTTTATGAGTATTTTATCGCAAAATATTTCTGTTTGTATAGTGTAACAGACCTTATTTCCAAAAGGAATCAATCCTTCAAAGACAAAGATACTCCTGAATGAGGCAGTGCTCATTTATAAGCCATATGTATCATCAGGTAATCACAATTAGATCTTCAAGAAATCCAAACCAATTTGATATACCCTGCCACTTTAAGGTAAATCTTTTGACTGTTCTTTTTATCCTAGGGCTTAGAAAGGCATTCATTTCTACATTTAATAGGAATTCAGTAAACATTTTTTAAAATGTTCAATAAATTATATATTTTGCCTTCTTGTGGTTGCAACCATGACTTACTCCTCAACTGAAGTTTCTATGGAAAGAGACAGCCTACATAGAAAGAATTTATGAAGGCAGAGAAAAATAAAGATTATAACCAGAAAGAAAGAAAGGAAAAGAGCCTGTTTTCTAAAACATACCGTACAAAGAAAGTTGCACTTCCCAAATACTTCATGATTATATTGGTAGATCATTAAATAAGAACAAAAGACATTCCTACCTGTAGAATATTGCCAGCCATACTGCAGAGGCAATCCCCATAAAATATTTTGTTCATTTTCTGGTCCAAATTTCTCAAAATACCTTGCTGTCTGCTTCAGTAGGATTTTATACATCCCCATCCTCTCAGGATAAACCCAGGGATTAATAATGTGCACGTTGTTCTCTACCTTGAAATCACTGAACTGACCAGGACTCGTTTCCCATAGTGGAGGATACAGATCTGGGAGATCAGAAGCTTCTGCTAAAGAAGCAGTAAAGCAAAAAACTAGTACACAACAGCAGAAAGGAAGAAAACCCATCGCGGCAAGGCTGAGGAGTTGTGGCATGGCTTTTATTGGAAAATGGAGGAGGAAGTCACGATATTTTCTTACATCACGGCTTATCAACACTTCACATTATTTTTCTTAGATACAGTGAGTATGAAGAGGAAATGGACATATTAGCTAGCATTTAAGATAACTTAATTTTGCAATTTCTACGGTGTCAAAACACTATATAAGACCTTATCCTAAGATTGGGTTTCTCTATGATATGTTGAATAAAACAATTTGTTGAAAAAAAAAAAAAAACTGCCTCCAAATTTCCGACTCCACATTATGGTTACAAAATAAATCACCAATTCCATAAGATTGTTTCTCTCTCATAATACTTTAACATATTTCATGGAAAGTATTCAATAATTGAAGACAGAAATGCTAGATTTGTGATAATGTATAGTCATAAGTTTGTGCTTCAAGAAAGTAGCCTAAAATATAATGAATATCCAAATATCTCAGTCAAATAGAGTGACCCAGTCTGTTGGAAAAAACTTCTAGTTAGTTCTCAATATCCATTCTCTATTCTTTATCAGCAAAAGGATCTTGAAAATATAGTTGATAATGTGATCTCACAGAATTAAGGCTTAATTTCCGCTATCCCTTGCACAAGCCACCGCTTGACTAATTGTTGACCACTAGAACATAAACAGAAATGATGTTCACAATTTCCAGGATATGTCCTTATAGTAAGATATGGGATGTGCCTCCTTCTCTTCCCTTCCTCCAAGTAGTGGCTTGGGTTATACATATGATGGCTGAAACTCAACTTTGACCTGTAAGCATAAGGCATTATCTTATGGATGACATAATACAAAGCTGGACGTTGCCTAGTTCCCAGGGAACCAGGGAAACATGAGGTATCTCTGAATTCTTAAATCTGAATTTTACCTAAGGAAAAAAAAAATACTGCTGCCTACACAAAATCATTGTTTGGGGATTTGTCAAAATGCTTATCTCATTGTTGGGCAGTTTATCTGAAAATCTCAATTATTAGCATAATTAATCTTCCTGTTTGCTAGTAAGCCAAAACGGTACTGCTTACTCCTGTGTGGTCAGCATGATTCAACTCCTTATTCCTGTCAAATCATTTACCTTGTAGCCATTTGATAAGTTATGCAATTTTCTGGACATATTAGCATAAAAAGGAAAATGTTAAGAATTACTCTTTTGTTCTACATCAATAACACAAGTGTTCTGGACATTAAAAAGGTGCATCCCATCTTTATAAAAAATAACTACGTCAAAATGGACTACAACAGGTATTTTTCTAAAATGAAATGCCACAATCTTTCCCAAGGTAGAAACTTGAAAATCATCCTTTCTAAAGTCAGAATTAAGACACTATAGTGTATTATTTAAGTTTTCATGGAGAATACTATAAAATAAAGTTGGTAATAAAAAATCAGAGGTATAAAATTGACAATGAGAAAGTAACGATACTATTTTTGCAGGTAACCTGATAATATTTGAAAAATAAAGCAGAAAAAAATTGGGAGAGTACCTGGAAAGAAAAACAATTTAGTATAAAATGGCTAGAAATTAAATCACATATAAAAGTTATTTGGAAATATAATGGGTAAAAATATAATGAAAGAGAATCTTAAAATCAATAATATATTTAGGAATAAATGCAATTTTGATACATCTATTTGGAAAAGACTAAGAATACTAATAAAATTACGCAATTTAAAAGTCACATCATATTCTTTAATCGACTCAATATTATTAACAAGTTAGTCTATAAATTTACACAATATGAATAAGAAATATTAACAAGAATTTTAGAACCAAAAAAGCTGAAATTAAAATTGTCTAAAAAACAAATTCTGCAAGATAGCTGAACAGAGGTGCCCAGTGTATGCATCCTCCAGAACAAACAACCAGCAATAGTGATTAAATAACTACATTTCAAGATAAGCACTGGAGCAGAACACTGGAACTCAGCAATGGAAACCTGGGAACCCCATGGGACATAGACATGAGCTTGTAGCATAAAGAGGAAAACAAAGTGAACCAGCAGCCAGGAGCCCAGCCCCATGGCCAGGGAGAATTTCATTACAGGGGAAAGAGTAAACAGGAAAGCCTTAGCAGAACTCATCCCCAGAAATGCTAGATGTCAGTAATCTTTGCTCCAGGAGGGATCCACAGACATCACAGGCTTGTAACACTGCAAGGAGTACTACCTGAAGTACACGCAGTAGCTTCAGAAAGGGAACTCACTGAAAAGTGATCCCTGTTAGGTATTTGGAAAACATTATGCTGAGTGAAATAAGCCAATCCCAAAGGGACAAATACCACTTGTTCTGCCTGATAGGTGACAACTAACTGAGCACCAAAAAGGAAACCTGTTAAAGTGAAATGAACACTATGAGAAACGGTCACTTGATCAGCCCTCACCCAGACTATTGATGAGCAACTTAATATGCTATCCCTCTTAGTATTTTTTTTGTTTGTTCTACTTAATACTTTTGGTTGAATACTGTAATCAATACACAATTCTTCTTAAGTGCTGAAACTTAACTGAAAAGTGATTGCTGTTAAATATAAGAGTGGGAATAAGAGAGGGAAGAGATGTGCAATTCGGGACATGTTCAAGCTGACTTACCTCAAACGGTAGAGTTAGAAACATACCAGGGGATTCCAATTCAATCCCATCAAGGTGGCATGTACCAATGCCATCTCACTAGTCCAAGTGATCAGTTTCTGTTCACAATTGATCATAATGATAGGACTAAGAGCCAAAGGGATCACATAAACAAGAATAGTGTCTGCAAATACTAGCTGATAGAATAAAAAAGGGAGAGAATGATCCAACATGGGAAGTGAGATACACAGCAGACCCATAGAATGGCAGATGTCCTAAACAGCACTCTGGCCTCAGAATCAGCCCTTAAGGCATGTGGATCCAGCTGAAAAGTCCATGAGAGTACTTCAGGCATGGAAAGCCAAGACACTCTGGGGGAAAAAAAAGAAAAAAAAAACCCTAAATGAAAGATCTCCACGAGTGAGATCCCAGTGGAAAGAATGGGTCATCAAAGAAGGAAGTACCTTTCTCTGAAGGGAGGAGAGAACTTCCACTTTGACCATGGCATTGTCTAAATATGATCAGAGTCGGTGAACTCAGGAGGCTTCCATAGCCTTGGCAGCTCATGACAAGAGTCTAAGGTGATTACTGATGCCATAAACAAGAGTGTCAATTTGTTAAGTCAACAACAGGAGTCATTGTGCACTTACTCCTCATTTAGGATCTTTGTCCTTAGTGTGCTGTACATTGAGATTTAATGCTATAACTAGAACTCAAACAGTATTTTTCACTTTATGTTTCTGTGTGGGAGCAAACTGTTGAAATCTTTACTTAATGTATGCTAACCTGCTCTTCTGTATATAAAGAGAAACGAAAATGAATCTTGATGTGAATGGAAGGGGAGAGGGCGTGGGAAAGGGGAGGGTTGCGGGTTGGAGGGATGTTATGGGGGGAAGCCATTGTAATCCATAAGCTGTACTTTGGAAATTTATATTCATTAAATAAAAGTTAAAAAAATAATAAATAAATTTTAATCATTTGAATTAGTATCCTCTTTGCTTTTGTAACAAATTACTACCCATTTGGAGCATTAAAACAATACACATTTAATATATTATATTACTCGGAATTACAAGTCTGACACAGGTTCACTGGGTGGAAATTGAAAAGTTGGCAAGCCTTTGAAGGCACCACGTGTCTTGCGTGTAGCAACCTCTGGAGATCACACTGATTCTTTGTCTCATGATGCTTTCTCTCATCTTCAAAGCTCATAGCGTAGCATCTTCTTATCTCTTCCTGATTCTGATTTTCCTACTTCTCTTTTCTCACTTATAAAAGCCATTGTATTTATAATGGCTAGCCAAGATTATTCTGGATAATACCCTATTCCAATATTTTAACTTTCCCACATTTGCAAGATTCCCTTTGCTACGTAAATAAAAATTATGCTTTTTTGAATCTTTTTTAAATTTTGACAGGCAGAGTGGACAGTGAGAGAGAGAGAGAGACAGAGAGAAAAGTCTTCCTTTGCCATTGGTTGGTTCACCCTCCAATAGCTGCCGCGGCCAGCGCTGCAGCCGACGCATCACACTGATCCAAAGGCAGGAGCCAGGTGCTTCTCCTGGTCGCCCATGGGGTGCAGGGCCCAAGCACTTGGGCCATTCTCCACTGCATTCCCTGGCCACAGCAGAGAGCTGGCCTGGAAGAGGGACAACCAGGACCGAATCCGGCGCCCCGACCGGGACTAGAACCCGGTGTACCAGTGCCACAAGGCGGAAGATTAGCCTATTGAGCTGTGGCGCCGGCCACTTTTTTGAATCTTTAAATATGGATATTTAATGGGGGCATTATTTCTGCTGCCACAGCGTTCATAAAGTGAACTCTTCTTTTTTCCCATCAAAAATGACATAACAAAATAGCATATAGGTAGTTGTGGTGCAACTATATAAAACATTTGATAAATTTTTGATTGGATCATTATTAGGTGATATATGAGCTTTCTACTGATGGCTTTAAATACAATAAGAGTTGTTCTAAATCATACCTGAAATAGTGGCTGGCATAGCTAAAGTATTTAGTTTCATGAAGCAAGCAGGCAAAGGAAATTAAGAAAATGAGGATGATTTACATAAAGTATACAAGAATATTACATAGAAACAGTGGAGTAAGAGAAGAATTTTTTTGGGGTCTTTGAGAAGAATTTTTTGGATCTTTGCATTAGAGCTGAGAACACATCTGGAATCAAATATAAAATACCCTATATTTCTTTGATTTTATGAGATTTAATTTCCATTTCTCTCCATTCATTGTGCTTGTTTCTTTTCTGTCATATATAGGTTGTGTTTCCTCTGCTTCATTTACTCATGTCTCACCCATTCTGTCTGAAGCCCTAGAGTTTACAATTTGTGGGTGCATAACCCATAATTAGATGGCCCATCCTTGTCAAAATACAAATTCCCTGGAAATGAGTTTTGTCTGGAATGATATAACTTCTAGATTAGTATCCCTGATTTAGTGGTGCAGACTGGCTCCAATGAACTATGGACAATAACTAGTACAGTCATAAAGCTAAAAAGTTGCCAGTAATAGCCCACTTTCTGTAGAGGATACTTGTAACAGGACTGGTTTCAGGAATGAATACCTGAATTGAATAGTTAAAGACAAATTATTCAAAGATGCCCCATGAATATGAAGTTCAGATAGAACAATGAAAATTTCTGAAGTGAAGTTCTGGTTTAGCAAAATTACTTTTTGAACTTTATATGATAATTAGGTTCACAAGATATAAGGCCTAAATATAAAAGAAAGACGACACTGAACATTTTTCTGGGCTTAAGCTGCCACCTGCAGCACTGACATCCCATATGGGCACCTGTTGGAGTCCCAGCTACTCCACTTCCAATCAAGTTCCCTACTTAATTAATATGCCTGGGAAAATATTGGAAGAGAGCTGAAGGCCCTGGGGCCCTGCACCCATTTGGAAGACCCAAATGAAACTCCTAGCTCCTGGTTTCACCCCATTCCAGCCCTGGCTGTTGTGCGATGTGGAGAATGAACCAGCAGATGAAAAGATCTTTCTCTTTCTCCCTCTTCCTTTTCCTCTCTATATGTATCTCTGCCTCTCAAATAAATAAATAAATCTTTAAAAAGTTTGTATGTTTTTGGGTTTCCATATTCATGTCATTGTTCAAGAAAATCATTTTTTTTCTGTTTACATTTTGA